TCGGTCGTCGTCGTCGTCGTCGTCGTCGTCGTCGTCGTCGTCGTCGTCGTCGTCGTCGTCATCGCCCTCCGCATTCCTCCTCGTACTCGCCCTCGTTGTCTTCGTCCTTGTCCTTGTGCTTCTCTTCCTCCTCGTTGTCCTCATGCTCCTCCTCGTTATCCTCACGTTCGCCACGTCGTCCTCATCATCGACTCCTCGTTGTCCTCGCCTTCCTTTTCCTCTTCGCCCAATGCACCCATTAGACTACAGCGACGCTTCCCGTTCTTGTCCGATCAGGTTTACCCCCCTAGATGGGGATATAGGCCGTTCTCTTCGGGTTTCGAAGGGTGTATCCCCAACTGGGGTGGTAACTTGGTGGGGGTCTCGAAGGGGATGGAGATGAGGATGGGGATCGGTTAAACGATACCGAGTTTAGGGAACCATGCGAAACACAACATAATGAAATCCTACTTTGAAAACACTAGGCGGAAGGGGCGGACTACACCCGGCCATCTTCGGGGGAGAGAAGAGAGAAGGATTCATATCTAGCTAGGTGCGCTCGCGCCATATCTTATATCCTACCCATCCCACCCATCCCTTCCCATTGAGCCTGTTTCTCTCTATCCATCGACGCGTGCCATGGCGGACCTGGAACTCCAACGAGGACCCCGTCGTGTTATGCGCAGTCTGAACAACAGGGAGCTGCGTACATTGGAGGTGGAGGATCAGCAGGAGGATGGGCAAGATAAAAAGGAGGAGGGATGACGAAGACAAACCGCAGCAACAGGAGCTGGAGTGGAAGAAGCAGGAGGAGCGGAAGGACCAGGCGAAGACCGAGGGGAAATGAGGGGGAGGCGACAACGATGAAAAAATAACTCGGATCCAGAAAAGTGGCCCGCGCTGGGGCGAGTGTACCAGTCTGATCGACGGGAAGAATCTGCCGATCCGACCATGAGACCCACACTTCGGCGGGAACACCATATTGGACACCGGAAACAATCGGAGTGTTAACACCATGAAACAACACAATATTTTGAATTCAGTGCAAAAACAGTGCGCGGAGATGGCCGACTATCTTCGGGACAGGGTTAAGGGAGAGAGGAGACTAGCCTTCAGAAAGTGTAGCTGTCGAGTACCTGTATGAGGGGAGGAGGAGAGAGGGAAGGGAGCGACCAAGGGGAGCAGGCGGGGGTAGGGCGCCGCGATCAGACCGATCGAGGTGCTCCTCTGCTTGCCCTCAGCACCCCGCGGGGGAAGCGGGAAAGGTAGGCCAGGAGCGACGAGGATCGGGTTGACCCAAAAGGGGGTCCAGCGACAAGGGGGTGGTGCAATAGATTTGGTGCAATGCGTTTGTGGGGTTGCAATACATTGAGGGCGTGCAATACGTTCCGGGGCGCAAATGTATTGCTGGATTCTCGCGTGCAGCACACGACTTGCAATACAATGCAACATACTTCTCCGGCGCAATACGCTTGCAATCCAATTGCCCGAAATCTACTGCACCACCCCCTTTCAGCTGGACCCCCTCTCGGGTCACCCAAGGAGAAGGGCGTCATGAAGCAACAGAAAGCAATACGGGGACTGCCCGTCCTCGCCGGCCTCTGGGAAGGGGAACCCTCCGGGCCCCGCGGGGCTGCCGAGCTGAAAAGCACGTCCCCCGGCAAGGGGTCGAGAGCTTTGGGTCGGGGGGAACGAAAGGGGGGGATAACAAAGGGTAGGGTAGAGAATCAGCACACGTAGCTAATTTTCCCAGCGTCTCCCAGCGCCAGGAGGCGCCCATGCATCGAGGAATGGGCCCGGCGGCGGGGCCGAAATCAGCTGCATGCAGCAAATTTCGTACCTCCCCTTTCTCTTTCCCCCCTTTCGTTCGGCCCGATTGAGGCGCGGGAGAGGAAGAGGGGTGATCGAGAGCCGATGGTCGAACCGATCGAGAATCGGCTCCTGGAGGCCCTCAGAGGCCTGCAGCCATCGTGCGAGCATGGGGCATGCTGCCTAAGGAACGAAGGGGCTGGCCACGGCGAGCATGGATTACCACAAGAAACCTTTCACAAGAAACCCAACCCCGAGACCCCAGGACGTCCATCGATTCTTGGTGTGGGAACGTCACCCTTTCCATGGCAAAACCATCAAAACCCAGGCCACCCTGGAGGTAAGCAGGTTGTTTCTTGGCATGGGTCTCCAATGTACTGCAAACTAGCGCGTCCGATAGCGCGCCAAGCGGACGCGACGTGTCTTCCTCGCATGGCGCGAGTTGGGGAGATTCGGCGCTACAGGGCGTTATTGGGCGCAGCGTGCGCACATCTTGGGCGCTATACGTTCAATGCAGGACGAGCGGAAGCTTTCGTGCCTTCCTATCTGCGAGGCAGGCGAGAGGCAGGGACCCGAGCCAAGAGGGAGGGACAGAAGCTTCTGTTCCCTGACATCCTCCGATAGATTCGTTTCGGTCCGCGGCCACAGAAATTCCGAGCGCTTCCCCAACGACAATTTTTAGCCCTGGGTCCGTGTTTGATGGCCTCGTGGTTCGATCATGGTCCCCGAGGGCTGAAGTATGGAGAGGAAAGGCCCGGCGGTGGAAAGCATCATATCTCGACTGGTTGCAAGATTATCGACATGTAACACACCAAAACATGACTGCCCACATGGTTCGTGACTTTGTCAACTCTCTGCCGTTCTTCTTGTTAATAATGAACCACGTCTACATCGCAGAGCTCTGGGGGGGGTTAAGGGGCATGCCCCTCCTTGACACAGACCCTGCCCCGATGTGTGGCCGCCGAGATCGCCGCGGCGATCTCCACCGACCCGAGGTGTGGTCCGGGGTCGGATATCAAGCAACGATCGACCCAGACGCCCGACGCCATGATCCGTCACAACGTCGACCCCCCGAGGTCTCGACTCACTCCCCGGCACCAGTTTTTCATCTTGAGCTGCGTTTTGACGGCCCTGGAGCCCAGCGAAGGCCCCCAGAGGTCGAAAATGATAGAAAACCGCCCGTCGAGATGTACGACGCGAGGGGGTCTGGGGATGCTGCCCCAGGCGCGGGCAGCCTGGACTCGGCTGCGCTCAAGAGTGACCGTAGGCAAGAGTGAACTGTGGTGCATGACTTTCGGGGGCCGTGGGAAGGCCAAACCTGGGCGCGCAAGACGCTGCTATCGCATCGCGCTCAGTCATCTGGGAACCCCATCCCAGTGTGCACGCACCAAAGGTCACTGATGCGAAAGGTCACTTTTACCCGTCGGTCGGAATAAGCAAGTAACAAAAATTAGGTATGAAGGCGTTGGAAGCCGATTGGGCTTCCGCCCGCCCCCCCCGAAGAGGAGAGAAGGGGGAACACCGCTCGACTCTTGAAGTAGGAAGGCGGCCAAAGTAGATCGGGAGCTGGGGATCCGAAAATAACCACCTACCTCCAACGACCGACATGTACGTGTAACCGATGGACGACGCCAAACGGCACGCGGAGCCCACCGGCATCTCCGCCGAGGCCGCCCCGAGGGCGCCCCGAGGCCGCCCCGAGGCACTGCGGCCGCGCCTCGAGGACGACCTCCAGAGGCCCCTGGCCGAGCCCAGGCGGCACCGCGGCGAGCTGCCGCCCCTCTGGACGTCCTCGCTCGAGGCGGCACGTCCGCCGAGGCTCCGCGAGCGCTCGTCAAGAAGCATCGGCCACACGATGTCCCAGACCTGCATTGATGAAGAGGCCCAGGGACACACAAGCAAATAGACACACATATCCGAGGATTCCTCGTATTTTCAAGTATTTTCTGGAGTTTCGTCTTCCCCAACACTTCCCATATTTTCTCAGATGTCCTTGGGGATCGACGGTTAATTGTGTCTGTGTTTCTTTCCCTCCTGAATTAACCCCTTGAACACCAGCAAAAAAATCGAGCACCAAGAAAGTACCGACACCGGGCGGGTTTTCACGTGTCGGGCCCTGGGGTGCGGCACTCTTTCGACACGTCGCTCGTGTGTCCGGGCAGGCATGGGTTCGATCCTTTTCTGAATGCTCGCAACTATTTCTGAGACTTGCTAAGAGTACGGAGGGAACAACTTCACATCAGCCTTGAACGATCGGCCGCTCCCAAAACGTCGGATCGTTCAACATCCACCGATTTGGGGTCGCCAGCGGCTCGGGTCAGCACGTCCGCCAAGAGCCCGCGCGCAGTCTCGACTCGCGCGGCCTTTCTCGCGGCCACGCCTCGCAGCCACTCCTCGCGGCCACTCCGCAGGCGCAGATCCCCGACTCCCGCGGCCACTTTTCGCAGCGGGCGCGCCGCGAACTGCCTAGCCAGGGAGACGCAAGACTCGGGCTCGGGAGACTCGGGTTGGCCTGACGAGTCCGTCAAGAAACTGACGAGGCCCAATCTGAAATTTCACGCGGCCTCCCGCTGCAAACATCCCACGACAACTGGACCGTCGAAACCCAGGACATGCTCGCCGAAGAGCGTCGGCACACCCGACTTCCAGTGAACTCGAGTCGTCCGCTTCCTCGATCTAGGGGTGGGCGCGGGGAATCTGTCAACGTTTGAGGCGGTCAGGGAGTCTGACTTGCTTGGGACCACCATAGAGAATCGATCAGGAAGGGGGGGGGATGACGCCAAATTTGCTCAAATTCCATCTAGTGCAATTTGTCAGCCCGGGTCAATTTTCAAATATCTCAGGATCCGAAAACGGCCCCCCGAGGCTGAAACATGCAACAAGAATCTATATAACGCCCAAAACCTTGAACCTGGACCCCCCCCACAGTTCTGCTCGCCGAAACCAATGCTGGGCCATCTCGGACACCCAGCCAGCTCCAAATTGAGACCTCCTTCTGGGGCTAGGTCGGGCATGTCCTCCCACAGGCGGATTTTGCAAGACAGCTGAAGCATAGTCAAGAGAATACTCAAAGATAATCAAACATTTTCAACTGTTTGGGCTACTTGTGAATATTCCTCCTGTACGTAAAAGGACATGCCGCCCGAATTCCTTCTGGGACCTTCCCCGTCTCGAGGCCTGGGCGCCTCTGGCGCCCGCAGGGGCCGCCGAGCTCAGACGACGCCAAAGCCCTGGCCGAGCTCGGTCAGCACCTGGGCGAGCTGCCGCCGCAGGACGTCCTTGCTCGAATACCTGGCGAGGGTCGGCGGCGAGCGGGGGGGGGGGTCTTCCTGGTGAAGAAGCGAAGTGTGCTTACGCCTCCCGAAATACCACTCCTATAGAATTACATTCGATGATCAGTGCGGCTCTTGCACGGTCGCAGCTAGAGATTGTACAGGGTTGCAGGCATCCAGAGGCACAAACCGCAGTTCTATTCAAGGAGTGATCACCTAGCATTCATTATTTGTGAGGGGGGAATGAGAGGGGGCCTAGTCGAACGCGCATGGTCGGGAAACTCACGCGCGAATGTCGGCACTGCCGACCCCGTTGTTCTGCGTCTCCCGTCTGTCAAGGCACCTTGTAGCGAAGGCATCATTCCCGAGGAGCGAACCCATCGTCTGGGCGGATTTCTCGGACCTGCGCTGACCCCCCGACGGCGCCTGTGGCGCCGCCCCTGGCGCGCTCCGCGCGCCGGAAAGGGGTGTCCAGCGCAGGTCCGAGAAATCCCCACGGACAGTTCAACGTGCGTCATTATGCAATCGTCCTCTACAGCTCGGGGGGCATTGAACATGCATGCTTGTGTAATTCGCTCTTCTTCGAAGCATTGCCACTGATTCTCTCCCCCTTGCTGAGCGCCCGAGGTGCGTGTTTCGGCGGCGAGCGAGGGGGGAAGTGAGAAATCAGCTACACGTGAGAGTGACCCTGGGTAATTAAGAGTGACCTTTGGTGCGCGGTTTAACGGGGGACGCGGGACGCGGCGTGACCAAGCCTGGGCGCGCAAGCCGCTGCTACCGCTTCGCGCTCAGCGATCGGGGGACCCCATTGGGCCCGTACCAAAGGTCACTCCGGCGAAAAGTCACTCTTACGTGTAGTCGAAGAATAAGCGGGCCTCCTCAGAAGGCCCGGAAGTCACCCGGCCTTCTGAGGAGTTCCCTGAGCCTTGCCCGAAAGCACAGAAAACTTGTCACAAGGCCGGGAGGGTTCTGGCAAGTGCTCGCCGCCGACTGGCGAGGGGGCGCGGGCTGTCTGGAGATGTGCCTACGGCAGGCTCGTGTCGTGCCGACCTCGGCGTTGGCTTCCGACACCGCGTGGATCGTTCGACCTCGGACGAGCGGTCGGCGGCTTGTCGATCGCTGGATTTTGATCCACATTGGTCAGTTCTGGGCCTCTGGTGGCACCACAATGTCTTCGCCTCGTCCGACCGCGCCTTTTCCTCGTCTCTCACTGCCTTCCTGCGCCTTGCACTGTCTTCCTGCTCCCTGGAATAGAGGCCCTGGCCTGAGCAAGTTAGCCCCTGCATGGTCTGGCCCGCGCCTGCCTGTTCCGTAGGCCTAGTAATGGGTGCAGCTCGTGACTACGTACCAAAGAACCACTACTCGACTCGAAGTCGCCGGTGGGTTCCGGAACATGCAGGAAACACGATGGAACCCATGTGCGCCCAAACCCAAATTGTTGTGGGTCTGTGGGCTTCAGGTTGGGCGGGGGTGGCTTGGTAAGTAGCTAGCTTGAGAAACCAACAGGGGCCAACAATAAACCGCCACTTCTTTGGCCCAGCGACGCTCGCTTCGCGATCTGCTTCGCGCTCTCGCGCCGCCTTCCTTGAAAATGAACGTCGCCCGCCCAGGCAGCGTCGCGCGAAACGCGATTATCTTTGAGCGCTTATGCGGGAAACCCGTGCCCAACTCGGTGCGAAGGCGTCCCTTGACGCGGGGGGGGAGCAAACGCAGGGGAAGAGACGTGCACCTCTCCAACACATTTTGGGCCCACGCGGCAGTTTAGGGGCCGCTCGGTGCTCCTTTTAGACAATGTTCCCTGCAATTCTTGATCCCCCCCCGTGTGGAGGGGGAGCCAGAGGGGAAGACTGGCTCGGGGGGGGGGGCTGGAATCGATGATACTCCGCAGGTAGACCGGCGATGGGCCCCCGATAGCAGATCCGCACGCAGTTGGGCGGAGTGGGGCTATATCGGGCCCCCATCGGGGATGAACGGGCGATTTCGGCTCAAGACCTTCCCCCTCCCCCGGGCCCCCCCTTAACGTTGCTCCCTGGTTTCCAAGGCATCACTCGACTCTCCAGCGGCCGTTCGGGAAGATCGTCGGGGCACCCCCGGAACGCCGTCGGCGAGGCGCAGCTGCTGGAAGGCATCCCGAGGCTGGAAAACCGCGGAGAGCCGACGAGCACGTCCGAAAACCTCTGACCTCGAACCTCGATGTTTTGCTTCCCACCCCTGAGCCTATTCTCACCCTGACGTTGCCCCTATGGGAAATGCCCGGCTCCACCGACGCGAGGCGCGAATCAGCAGCGGTGACAGAGAAGAGACCTCTCAGCGACGACAATCAACATCTCTTATGCAAGATATATAACACGTGATGGCTTATGCGGGCTGCCAGCTCGGCACGCTACATTGGGAACGAGGGCGCTTACGCGCGACCTTTTGCGGGAAACTCACGCGCGAATGTCGGCACTGCCGACCCCGTTGTTCTGCGTCTCCTGTTTGTCAAGGCACCAGTAGCGAGGGCATCGTTCGCGAGGAGCGAGCCCACCGTCTGGGCGGATTTCTCGGACCTGCGCTGACCCCCCGACGGCGCCTGTGGCGCCGCCCCTGGCGCGCTCCGCGCGCCGGAAAGGGGGTCCAGCGCAGGTCCGAGAAATCCCCACGGACAGTTCAACGTGCGTAATTATGCAATCGTCCTCTACAGCTCGGGGGGCGTTGAACATGCATGCTTGCGTAATTCGTTCTTCTTCGAAGCATTGCCTCTGATGCTCCCGGTGCATATTTCGGTGGCGAGCGAGGGGGGGAAATGAGAAAGGGTGGACCTCCTCAGAATGCCCGGACGTCCCCCGGCCTTCTGACACAAATTATAAGCCTTCCCCGAAGACACGGGCAACTTGAAGACGCGAGGGCTTCTGAGAAGTCCCGCCGCCTTCTGACAAGGCCTTCTCCTTCTCATTTCCCCCCTCGCTCGCCGCCGACTGATGCTCGCCACACTGCTGAACGCCCGAGGTGCATGTGGGCAGTTGGCATCCCCCGGGTCGCCGCGGGAGCTGGAGCATATTGCCGCAGGTCATGGCGTGCGGGAGCTGCTCGTCGCCGCCGTCGTAAGGCTGGGGCGGAAGAGGGGCAGGAGAGGGGAGGAGGAGGAGGCGGAGGAAAAGAGGGAGTTTAGATGAGATGAGATGGGACAGAGCCCTGAAGGCGGACAAGGTTAGGCCTACTCGACCCCAAAATCGGACGCCTCGGAGGCCGAAGCATCGGACGCACCGTCGCCCACGTCCTTTGCGCAGAGGCGCGCGCCGAGCTCCGCCACCGAGGGCAGCTCGGCTTCCGCGGAGCCCGGAAACCTGCCGCGTCCTCGCCCACAAAGACCCAGCCCCAGGAGCGCCAGAACGGGAGCCCGACCCCCGCAGGGCCGACGAGAGGCCCCCAGGGCCTGCAGGACCAGGAGGGCCAGCCCAGGAGGCAGGCCCCCAGAGGCCTCGGAAGGGTCGCCACGGGCCAGGCGGACACGGATCTCCGTCGGGACCCCGACAGGCGCTTCCAGCACCAGATCCTCGACACTGGCCTTACACGATGGCCGCTGCCTCGCGCGCAGACGTTGGAGCTGGGCCTGCAGCCTAGAGCCCGCATTTTCACGGGGACAGGGCCGCAGCAGGGCCCTCGCGGACTGAAAACCCGTGAGATATGCCCCGCGCCGGCAGCAAAAACAAAGAGCTCGGTCACCTTCGCGCCCGTCGCGCGCAGACACCCGAGCGAAGAGGAGCGGGTGGCCGTCGAACCCATGACCAACATCAGCAAACTCGTCCCAACCGTCGGCTGAGCGGCTCCTGCACGGAGCAGGGGGGTCAGGCAGCGGCTGGCTGGCGGGTTCAGGGGGGCCTCCTCAGCCTCGCCTCGCGCCGCCCACAGCTCGCCGACATCGTCGTGATCCCGACCCACCTCCCCACCCTCGACCCACGCGTGTACCTGCCCCGTCCACTGCGCTGCCCCATGGCAGATGTCCGCTGGACCTCGTCGCAAATGCAGGTGCTCAGCTCTGACGCCGTGCATACGATTACCCCTCTTAGCAAACTCGTCGGCAACATCATTGCCGCGCTTCTCCAATAGCGTGGTCTCAGCATTAGAAGCATCTGTCATGCTGCAAAGGACCTTGGCTTTGTAGGCCGCAAAATCGTTGCAGGAAAACGCAGCCCCAAAAAGGGAGAATAGGGGATTCTCAACTGGCGGTCTGGGAGACCCAATTCTCTAAAAATCGCACTCTCGCCTCGGCGCCGCGCACACTTTTTCGAAAACAGCATTGTCGCCTCGACGCCGCGCACATTTCTGTGAAGCGGGCTGAGATCCTTGACATAATGATTCCTATTGAAATCCTCTACAGAAGGATTCCAAAGGAAACCGTCCACAGACGGATTCCCGTTGAATTGCACAAGAGAAACGTCTCATCGCGTTCGCATTGAACTGGTATTGAATCCGAATTGGCCCAATTGGCATTGCACTGGCAATGTGCTGGCATTGTGCTTGCATGCGGTGGCACGGATCTAGCATAGAATTGGTAGGCAAAGTGCCGGCATTGAATTGGCATTGCACTCCTGTTGAATCCTCCACAGAAGGACTCCTGCTGAAACTCTCCACAGAAGGATTCCCAGCGAAACCCTCCACAGAAGGATCCTCATTGAAGATTCCACAATATGGATTCCGATTGGAACCCTCCACAAAAGGATTCCAGTTGAAACCCTCCACAGGAGACCCCTGGGGCAGTCTGGAACATGTTGTCAGCATTTTTTTGTGTTCCCCCCCCCCCACCCCGCCCGTCCATCCCCCCACATGCGCCACCACAGGCGGCGTGGACTGTTACTCACTCTCACTTTCCCTCCCTCCCCTCCCTTTTGGGGCCCTTCTTGTTTTAGATTTCAGCAGGAATCCTTCTGTGAAGGATGTCAATGGAAATTGTTTTGTGGAGGAGTTCAATGGAAATCCTTATGTGAAGGGTTCCACTAAGAACCCTTGTGCGGAGGATTTCAATCGGAATCGTTTTGCGGGCGTTTCCAGAAGAATCCTTGCTCGGAGGATTTCGTAGGAGTCCTTCTGTGGAGGGTTTCAATGGGAACTCTTCTTGTGTAGGCGTTCAAAAAGAATCTTCCTGTGGAGGATTTCAAAAGAACTCCTTTTGTGGAGGGTGTCGATTCGGATTTCTGGTATAAATTCAATCTGAACGCAACGCCAACACAATGACAAGGCACTGGCAGTGATGTGCCAGCGCTTTGCCAGCGCAAGGCCCATCGCAACGCCAAGGGGCACCAATGCTATGCTACCTTCCTGTGGAGGCGTCCAATAGGAATCATAATGCTGAGGGTTTTCAATCAAAATCTTTGTGTGTGGATGGTTTTAATAGGAATGCAATGCCAATGAATGCAAATGCTATGCTAGCTTATTTGCCAGCGCAAGAACAATGCACTGCCAAGGAACACCACTGCTATGCAGTTCTGCGCCATGTCCGTGCCAATGCGTAGCCATCACAATGCCAGTGCAACGCCAGCACTTGGTCAGTGCAATGTTAATCCCCAGTCAACGCTATCCAACGCGAAAGGAATGAACGATGTTATTCCCGTCAATATCTCAATAGAACTCACGCAGTGGGTAATTGAATGGGACTCCTGCTATGGGGGATTTCAGTTGGAGCCATTTGAGAAGGAATGGATTGGGAATCCGTATATGAAGGTCTTCAAGAAAAATGCAATGCAACTGACGTCCAAGGCAATGTCTGTGCTATGCCAACGCCTTGCCAGCGCAAGGCCATGCAATGCCAAGGGGCACCAGTAAACCGTTGTTCCACATGTTTCAATCGAAATCCTTCTGGGGGAATTGACTATGACTCCTGCTGTTGAGGATGTGTGGGATGTTAGTTGGAGCCATATGAGGCGGAATGTAAAAGGATTGCTTCTATGAAGGGCCCCAAGAAGACTGCAATCAACGTCGCGTCCAAGGCAGTGCTTGTGCTATGCCAGCGCTTTGCCAGCGCAAGGTCATGCAATGCCAAGGGGCACCAATAAATCGGTGTTTCATGTTTCAATAGATATCCTTATGTTGATGATTGAACTAGGAATCCTGTTTTGGGGATTTCAATAAGAAACGTCTGCGGAGGAAGTTCAGTATATTCCTTCCATGCAGGGTTTCAAATGTAATGCTTGCCACCGCAATTCCAAGGCAATGCTTGCGCTGTGCCAGCGCTTTGCCAGCGCAAGGCCAATGCAATGCCACGGGACACCTGGTAACCTTTGTTTCATCTATATTTCAATAGAAACCCTTATGTGGACGGTTGAACTGGGAGTCCTGCTATAGACGGTTTCAATAGGAGTCCTCCTGTGGGGGAATTCAACAGAAATCCTTGTATGAAGTGTTTCACTAGACATGCAGTGCCGAGACGATTCCAAGGCAATGCCTGTGCTATGCCAGCGCTCTGTCACCGCAAGGCCACTGCAATGCACAGGGGCACCACAGAACTTCTCAAACATATTGCAATAGTAATCCTTCTGTGGAGGACTGAACCAGAAATCCTGCTATGGAGGAGTTCAGTAGGAGCCTTCTGTGGAGGAAATGAAAAGGAATCCTTGGATGATGGGCTTCGAGAGGGATGCAGTGCCAAATCAATTCCAAGGCAATGCTTGTGCTGCGCCAGCGTTTTACCAGCGGACGGCCAATGCAATGCCAAGGGGCACCAATGAATTTGTGTCCTTCTATATTCCAATAGAAACCCTTCTGTGGATGATTGAACTCGGAATCCTAGTATAGAAGGCTCAGGGTTTCAGTGAGAGTTCTTTTGGTGGGATATTCAAAAAATATCCTTTTATGACGGGCTTCAAGGGAAATGCAACTACAAAACGAATCCAAGGCAATGTCTCTGCTATGCCGGCGCCCTGTCAGCGCAAGGCCAGGGGGCACCAATGAATCATTGTTCTCAAAATTGCAATCGTAACCTTTCTGTGGGGGACTGCGCCGGGAATCCTGATATGGAGAAGTTCACCAGGAACCTTCTGAAAAAACAAGCATCCGATTCTGAAGGGCCTCAATTGTCACGCAATGCCAAATCAACTCCAAGGCAATGCTTGTGCTATGCCAGCGCTTGGCCAGCGCAAGGTCAATGCAACGCCAAGGGATATGAATGAATCGTTTGCCTTCTAGATTGCAGTAGTAATCTTCTGTGGGTGATCGAACCAGAAATCCTGCAATGGATGGTTTCAGGTGGAACCTTCTGAGGTCACCATGCCGCTTCTCTATCAATTATGTGCAAATCCGTGCCGATGCCAGTGCAATTCCAGCACGTGGCCGTGACATACCAGTCCCGATTCATTGCGATTCGATGCGGGGGAAATTGATTCCTTTTCCAGTAGTTCACTTGGAACTATTACATCTGTATATGATTTAACTTTGAATCTTTGCGTGGAGGACTTGGTTAGGAATCATTGTTGTGCGTGCGTGGGAAGGGGGCTGAACATAGGGATCCTTCTGGTTCAGGATTCCAAATGAATTGGTATTGCGACGTGGAGGCGCTCGGAATCCTTCTCATGGCGGGTTCCATAAGACTCCCCATGTAGAGGTTTCAACGGAAGCCGCCGCCGCAATGCAAACGCAAGGCCAGCGCGCTGCCGACGCAATGCAGCGCAAATCCTATGCCAAACCACGCCATGCAATGCCGATGGGCGCCCTTAGGGCAGAGCGTTTACACTGCGCCGGCACGAGAAATACACAAACGAAATGCCACCACCCACCCACCCTGACAAGGGGGGAAAAAAAAGCCTTTGAGGCGAGAGCGCCATAAACAAATGCACGCGGCGCCGAGGCGAGAATGCGATCTCTGAAAAATCGGGCGCAGCAGACCGCCACATGGGAACCTCCCGTCCTCAAAACAAGCCCCGCATGCGGGCTCTAGCATTGTCGCGCCCCGCCCCTGCCCAAGGCCCCTCATGCATGGTCTGAGCCGTGCCTTCGCAATTGCACTGAATGTCGAACTGAGGCTTGGCTTTCTGGGTCAAAGCGCGCGCCGCGAAACCTCCCCCGCCCCTCGCCGTCCGGCGAAGGGCGAATGCTAGCGGGGTTGGCCCGCAGGCCG